GTAGTTAGAACAGGAACACTGCTCTGGTGCCAATTGAAACTTATAATTGTACGGAGTGCGCTATTTATTGTACGAACTAGAACAAGAACTGAATAATGCGGAGGCAGTAAACCGAAGATTAAAAACTCTTCAGGGAAGCATCCTACTTCCCCTCAGAGCTCTTTCATTGATAGATCGAACACGAACATAGTTTGGACTTACAACGAATCAAACTCCCTTTAAGTCTAGCCAATACTACTCACGATCCTACCAACTATTATTTCGGCCACGTCCCGTGGATTTTTATCATACACTTACTCCCTAAGTGTAAAAAACAAGAGACAGTTTGATGAAACTAAGAAAACAAAACAAAACAGCTTCAGTCCTTGAGTTTGTAAGAACTCTCGTACTGAACTGTGTACAACTGAACTGAATAATCAAGAACAAAATGTGAAGCTCGAATATTGCTCTAAATATCTCGCAACTCAGCAGCCGCAATGAGAGCTTGCACTAGGGTATTTAAAATGAATCTCCTTAGGGTTGGAGTCTTCTTCAAGGCATAGGACTCCAACCTTAATTTCCTTCCATAAAAATAGCATATCTTAGGTAAGTAGATCTCTTCTTCTCTCTCTCCATGATCTCCTCATACAGCACGATTCTCCTTCCTTTAATTCTGATTACCTACAAAATATAATACCATAATAAGACCTATAATATCTTATATATATGAAATATAAAATAAACTTAAGTAAGGAAATAATATATTTCAAGATCTTCTCTTTTTCTGTGATTCCAGGTGCTTGTTCGAACTAACGAACTAATGCCAAAATAAAATATCTTTCAAAAACAACAGAAAATGAGATGTAATTCCGAAAATATCTTTTCCACATACCATGGGATGTCGGATGTAATTCTAGGTCCTTGATTTAATAAATGAGCTTGCACGACAACAAGAACTTTTGGTTCTGAAGATTCTTGATCTATCTTGTTAATTACTCCAACTCTTTGTACCTAAACAATAGCAAATACTGTAAGTTAATCACGAGAGATATGTGATCATAAGAAAATTCCATTTTCAAAATCATAAATTAAAAAAATAATAA